CACTAGTCCCTCTTGGTCTCCTGCAGTTACACTGCTTTTTCACAGCAAACCACTTAAACACTTCAGATTAAGAAACCAAATAATATTAGATATTACAGGTGGAAATGCTTTTCTTCCCACTGAGTCTCCTAAGTCTTTGAAAAATTAACCAAGTGGAAGCTGAAATAAAGAATGTCTAACTGCACCGTTTACCTAACTTAGGAGTTCACAGAAAAATCAATTTGCATCTATTATTAGAAACCTAAAACATTCTGCATTAGAGCAGCTGCTTATAAAGCATCTGACACATTCCACTTGAAAGGAGCATGTCTAGGGCTTCACAGATTTTCCATGACTAGGACTCCTCAATGTCAGGATAACAGTACCCATGTCTTAATACAAATCCCCTCAACACAGCTTAACAAAAGGCTTTAACTGACGGAGCTTAAGTCACTTCATGTTACAGTCACCTCATGGTGACCATTTTGCAAGAGAAAAATATTACAGAGTTGAGCAGCCAATGCTGACCTCAGCAAGTCTTCAGTAAGGCTCTCATGGGTTACAAAATACTTCAGTTTGAGGTGCATTAAAAAAAAATGCAATTTGGGCTCACAGGAGAGTTGACTGTTACACTGAAAGTTGTGTTCCTGAACTACAACAATATTCTAATGTTTTTTTGACCATTGGTAGTTTGAGGCTTTTCTCTTTGGGGATGCCCAGTAATTTTATAAAGATGGAAAGAGATGTAATTGCACTTCTGCAAGCTGCAGCAATTTCTGTCACAAAAATCAAGGCATAATGCTAGGAAGAGAATAAATGAAGGCCTATGTAAGATAAAAGCACATCTATCATTCTTACTATATCCTCCTTGTTTATTTTCTGCATTTCCTTCTGTTTTGTACTAGCACTAAGTTACATCAGTACATTGTTAATACATTATTGCAGAGAACTCTGGCAAAATAGAACTGAGCTGGTCTTCAACTGGGGTGTTTTACTACTACAATGTCATATTTTCTTTATGTGAAAAAAAAAAAAGAAGTAGTATCAAAATCTTAAACTCTTCTTGACAGAACATTACTACTGGCCAAACCTAACCAAAGAGCAAACTAGCTGTCTCAAGACTTAGGTACCCAGAATTAATTGTTTACTTCACCAGTTTTATGTCCTGAGAAAGAACTGAACTTTAAGTCCCTAAATGTCCCAGATCATCAGAGTATAGGTATGGATACTACAAGATCTCACATTCCAAATATAAACCAAAAAACACAAAAATTCTGAATATTTAAACTATCTGCCTAGAGTAAGATAAAATACAAAGAGAGATCTTAATCTCCAAACCTTAGGAGATCTTTGGCACAGAGAACATCATTTCTCAAGAAGACAATAGCAAAGAGCTCATCTGGAGCATCTGCATGATTTCTTTCAAAGAGCCCCAAGCAAGGCAGGCTGCTTTGGGGTCACAGAAAATGGCATGGCAAATCTAAGGCTGTCCTTTATTGAAGGAAACTTAAATGCATATAAACCTACTTCTCTTGGTATAGACAGTCTGTACTTCAGTGCTGAAGTGGAGCTGTTGTGTACAAAACAAATAGAAAAAATATTTGGAGAAGAGAAGTCAAAGAATGTACATATGGAAAAAAAAAATAGAAGACAATCACTTTTTTGGAGCCAAACCATGATTGTGCTCCTCTTTTCCCATTTTAATCAGTGATTTGAGAAAAGAGACAAGAACTAGCCAACAAAATACCTCTATTTCCCTCCTTACTTTCCTCAAAGCCTCCTGAATTCTTTACAGTTGTAATTCATGCTAAAAACAAACAAAAAACACAACAACAAAAGAAGCAGGAAATGTAAATCTAAGCCAGGAACAGCCTGTCTCACATCTGAAAGGCAAAATCTTCAAGACAGAGTGAATATGAATCTGAGATTCTTTTTCTCCTCCATGAGTGCTGTTTGTAAAGCACAACAAGCCAGAACAACGCTGTCTACATTAGCAAAGATAGCTGCAGTTATTCCTTGTATTTATTTCCTACTTCCTATTCTAAACCATCCTCCTTAAGGAATCTGTAAAAACAAATGTGGCATTTCAGGAGCAAGCTATATGTTCCTGTCCACACTAAAGCATTTGTGGATACAAGCAGAGAAAAATTTCCAGATGCTCTGCAAAGTAAAATGCTTGGGCATTCCTACAGTTCATCTATAGCAACAAGAGGTCTGGCAAAATGCCAGCCCTGTGTGCACTGCTCTGCAACAACTACCAGTGTATTATCACATTACTCTTCTCCTAAATCCAAAACATGATATCATGCAAGCCTCTAAGAAGGAAACTAACTCTCTCCCAGCCAAAATCAGAACAGGAGGAGAATGAGGAAGAAAAATTTCTGTTCCTCATTAACAGCAGGACTCCATCCCCTTTCCCCAGCTTACTGTTGTATCTGACTTCAGCAAAGAGGAGCTACACTGAGCATGCAAACAGGCCTGGGAATTGCTACAGCTTTATCTCATCTCCCTTCCAAGTTGCATTCTGACATACAGCTAAGGAGAAACCAGGCACTGGGAAAGCTCCTCTACTGGTTCTCCAGCACATGCAAACCAGAAAGACTTGATACAATTGCATTAAGATGCATATATATATGCATAGAGATATATGTATCTATGGAGGTATTGTATTTTTACAGAGTATCTCTTCACCTATACCATTTCAGAAGGGATTAACAGCTCTGAATCCCAATTTTGTTTCATCTTTAGGAAGGAACAGGAAGCTTAGCAAGTACTGCCACCACATGTTGCCAAGTTTCTCCACCATTTATCTTTCCTGAGATGTTTAGGGGCTCTAGTTATGTCTTCTGGGCTTTTCTTTTAAGCTAAAACCTTATGCTTTCTACTTACCTTTTAGTGGCTTTTCTAATCTGCCAACTCTAAAAATCCCATCCCTCCCAAATTAATTCTGCATCCCTTTTCAGGAGTGGGTGCTATTTTTCCTAAGTGAAAAGTTCAGATTCTGAGAATTACCAGAACACTAACCCTACAGAAATAGATGAGAATATCTGATGACTACTCCAGAATCCCTATCCTGCCATAAGGAAACTATTTTATCTTGGGAAAGAAGGTGATGGGAGTATAGTTCTAGCTAAATTGAGCTATTAGAATCTGAAAGCTCAAAATGGTTCGCTCCTGTGTGGTTAAGGTACTTCAGTGTGTGTGGTTTCAACAGCTCTAAGCTGCTATTGCTCAAAAGGTAATATTCCATTTATATCCCAGCTATAAAGACTTGGCAACAGCCTCCTCAGTAATAACAGGGACCATGGCTGATATCCTTTCCTCTAGTGGGGAAAGGTCAATATTATTATACTGGTTTTGTGAATTTTAGTATAGCAAAGAAAGAGCTTTAAATGTCTGTCCATTGCCTGAGTGAATTAGAGAATAATACTGGACCACCCTACAAGCATAGCTGAATGCTCATTATTTTTCAGTATTTTCCCTCAACTAGTCTCTTAGGAAAACGTGTGAATGATAATAGATCATTTTTGCTGCAAGAAATTCAAACCATATTCCCAAACCTATAAATGTAACCAGCACAAATCCAGCAGGAATTCCCTACAGCAACTTGCAAGTCATTCAATCACTATGAAAGCCAGGAAACAATTGTAGTGACAGGCAATGATATAAACTCTAAACTTGTACTGATAGCTAAGTTTTCGAAGAGACAGAGGGGGAACAAGTATTTTAGGAATGACAGAGTGAAAGCACTTCAGAAGATACACCATGAAAATCTACCAACCTAAGAAAAAAAATTATGCTTACCTGCCTTTATCAGCCAGAGGTTAAGAAGTTATTTATACTTCAGTGAGAATTCAATGCAGGAGACAGTATTTGTAGACTGCAATCAGACTTAGCAACAGTATATCTCTCCTTTCCCAGAGGATGAAGAAGGAAACTTCTATTTTTTCGCCATTAGACCTTGCTGTTGGAAACAGCTGAAAGCAGGGAATGTCTAGGGAAATCCATGGTGATTTTCAGCAGAATTCCTTGCAGAATTGTCTCATCTCTGGAATGAGACTCACACTTACTGGGCTTTCTTAGCAAGAACAGTTGTTTCTTTTTTCAATCATTCACTCCCTCTTCAAAGGTTATCCCAGAGAAACAGGTGAATTCTCTCTCAAGAGATGTAGTTCCCTTTCTGTGCCTGTATCTACAAAGGCTCCCACTAATTTTAACCAAAGCCTACCCTGAGTATACATTGAATAACCCTGAAAGAATTTGTCTTACATCTTTGGAAGCAGGCAACACAGGTCTGCAGAAATATTTCTACAGGACATTCTTCTGAAGATGCTACTAAGGATCTATAGTCAGCAGGCAACCAGATATAGCCCTTAAGAGTGTTGTTCACACTTTTACATCCTCCTCACACAGACCAGTCAGTGGAAGAATCTGGTGCAGCAAAATAGGGATAAAAATTCTGCAAAATCACACTGTGAGTTTTATTCTGTGAGACAATAACTGCCAGCAAAGGGGACCATCTTTAACACGATTTTTTGAAAGTTACACGTGTTAACCCCAGATCATTAAAGCAAGAGTAGAAATCCAATCACACCTCACTATCTGTTCTATTCATATTTCATGCTGCTTCTTGTAACAACAAGGACAAGACTCTTGCTTTGAAATATCTCCAAGTAATATGCGGATTTTCATGATTTCCAGGGAAATTCTTACCCTGTAATTTGGAAAATACAAGCTTCTCAGCATCAAGATCCCTCAGAGCTTTTACAACATCCCCAATCACTTCCCATTCATTATTCTCAAATCCTTGCTTAATGCAGAAATTTGCCCTCACTACATACATTTTTTTATAGGTTGAGTTAGATTTCACCTTGGAAGTTTGGATTTTCCTTCTGTTTTTCCTACCTGCTGCTACACATCACTCTCCTGCATTTTACCTCTAAAGCCTACTCTGAGTGAACACAGCATGATTACATGGAAATCTTCCCACATCATCTTTAGAAACAGCCATCTCATACTCATGAGGTTCAGCACTTTTATTATCATAATTCACCTTAGATCTACAACAAAATCCTTTCCCATGGAAACTAGAGGAAAGCAACTATATGAAATAGCAATGAACTGAGCTGAACGAGTCCAGAAGGAAGTACTCTGTAACATTAAGACTATATCAAAATAGTGGTTGACAGTATTAAGAGAAAGGGAAAAGTACAGACAGTGATAATTCAGTGGTTTATATTTAACTGAATATTTGGAACATACTGTATGAAATCACTGAAATGTGGTAGGGATCTGGAATCAATACAACTAAACGTAGCAGGAACAAAGTACCAAAGATACAACAGTTCACATCAGCAGTCCCACTCTAGCTCAACTAAAGTAGACATACACCAGGTTTCCTTGGTTTCTTGCATGCTCAGTGAGAAAGCAATGTACTCTTTCCCAAGTAAGCAATAACATCATCTCTTAGGCACTAACAAAATGAAACATTTGCTGAAAAGCTGCATGTGGTAAAGTACATGGAAAAACTCACATCAGCAAAAAAATATAAATTGTTCAGCTAAAAGAGATAAACTGCTTGAAGATAGACACATGAAGGGAATGTTAGAAACTAAAGTTTTTGGGCTTGCTTGATCCTAAGAGGAAGGACAGAAGGAAAAAAAGAGTTCATCTTTTGTCCAAATCCTTCTGAGAAGCCACATACACCCCACAAACACAGACTAACTTAATCATAAACAGAGCACCTAACTCCCACTTAAATACAGAAGCAACCATTTAGGTTAGTGAATGCAGCTTGTGCTATCAATAGACAACCACATCACGCATCCCTTCAACATACTGTTCAGGCATCAAGTGCCTACTTTCTTTTGGCTCTCTGCTTACGTCTGTTTTGCATTGATTATTATGTCAGATATAATTACAGTCAGCAAATAGCTCTTCATTTTGCAGCAGTAGGTTTTATAACTGAATACTGGCAGGAAAGTCACCATATCCCTTTTCAGATTCCTTCAGGCCATGATACAGCTTTATGCTCAGACAGGATATGCACATTTCTCCCAGTCATTTCTGTTAACTTTCTCCTTTCCATAGCAGTGATGAACCAGTACTGTGCAAAATACCCCAAGTTGGTCAGCTCAACATTCATACATACAATTGCTGTTCATGCTCCTCCAGCATCCTACAACTCTAACTTTATTTCACACAGGTAGGTAACAGTGGTCACTATTGATCTGACTATACCTGGAGTCTTTTTCTTCTATCTTCTCAAGCTGCAGAAGTAACACTCTTAGCCTATAGCAAAAATTCTCATTAATAGTTTATAATTGATCAAATATGCATTGTATACAATTATTTAACCTTATTTTACTTGTCACAACAAGTACTACTTTACTCTTGTGTTCAAAACTTACCATGTGCTGTCAGTTCTTTCCAAATGACCATATAAAAATCATCACAATACAGCCAATTTTTTCCTGTACAAAGCACTGACAGACAGAAATTACCAAGTCTGACTGTTGTAGAAATTTTCTAGAGACTTCATCAAATACTATTGGTACTATTCACACCAATCCAACAGTTCCCACTACAAAATTTCCTCTTGAGACAACATTTTATCCAGGCTGGAATAACAGATTTTTTTCTCTGTAGATCCACATCACATACTTGCACAAAATCCATATGGAATGTATTTTCTGACTTTTTTTTTTCATTTAAAATGTCCATTATCACAAGCAATCATTAGAGTATTTCAAAATGATCAGTTCTTGCTAACTGTACATTTACCTTTATGTATAACATTCTGCAGAAGAGGGATTTACTTGGAGCTCTGCTTGCTACTGATGCATAAGCCTGTAATTTTCTCATTTGTTTTCCTTCTTTAATATTGGTAGTACCTTATCTAGTTTCTAATTATCAAATTTCTTAAAATATTTTCTGCCAGACCTGCACTTTACATGTCTATTTTCAGAATTTTAGATGGATGCTGAAGTCTCAGAATAGACTGCTTGGAATTGTTTGCACTTCAGAGGCAGTAATTTCAGCAGTTCCATCCTCAATCCCATCCTAATCATCTGCCACAGGAGCAAGATTAGAAAAAGCTACCAACTTCTAAACCACCACAATTAAGGTAGGAAATGCTCCTTTAGGTAGAAATCCACACAGAAGTAGTGCTAAGATTCACCACCTGGAGACTGCCTTTAAAAGCTAGTTAACTTCACGCAAGTCTATCAGTAGCAAGTACATTTGCATTAGTGAAATCAGCATTAAGAGTATCCCATACAATACTAAATTTAAAACAGGCAAGTATATCTTCCCCAGTTTAATACACTGCTGTTTTTTTTGTACCAATTTGTTCATTAGAACCAGATTTCTGTCCCAGCATTTCCTGCTTTTGACAGAAACTAATCACATTGAGTCAGCCTAAAGCACAGTGGCTGGTAACTATGCCAAGAAGATTTGATGAGTATTTGTTTTTGGAAGTATCTTTTTCATTTTTTTAAAATTTTTAATTGTATTACCAAATTCATGGGCTTTAATTGTTAGAGATCTTTAATAAGTCTCACACTCTTTTAGGTTGTGTCTATGGCTGATCACCTCTGCATTAGCACCATGCCATGACTCAATTAGGATTTCACATACCTTTACATAAATGCCTTTTGACCAAGCTTAATACAACCACTCAAGAAGAAAGGGTTGTAAAGTAACATGAACATCAAAAAAACCCCACACAATTAACCTGAGTTCTACCCTGCCAATTTGCCTCTCTGAGGGCTTGAGATCAATATGCAGACAGTTACCATTATGTCAATGATAGGTTTCATTTCAGATGTGCCACGCATAAGCACAGGGGTTGCCTGCAGAAATTCCAGCAGACCAATCACCTCTAAGTTTGGATGACCTCGATGCTAAAAGTCTGAGAAGCAGATTAGGGTAGGTCAATTCAGATTAACACCTACTGAAGAAAAAAAAGAAATGAAAGTTATCATACACATGCTATTTCAATATGAATTTTGAAATACTTGTGAGCAGCTGAAAGAATGGAATTGGTGACATCAAGTTTGCACCACAGACTGCTAAGGATTCAGTTTCAGAACACGCTGGGGAAGGCTAGGCCAGAATGCAGCATAAACTGCAAACAAAACCTGCTTATATTTATGCAGAATGATTTACGAGGAAATTCCAACAATAGACTTCATATCAAATACCTGCTGTTAGAAAGAAATGATATCTAATAATGTTTCATTACAAAAGCAGTTATAATCCATTCCATACCACCCTTCATTTCTGCCAGTAGTACTGTGTGCTAGATGGGATCTTAAATGGACACAAGTTTTCTGATTGCTGGTTACAGAATCTCAGCTGACAGACAAAAACAACTGAATTTAACTGTAAGAACATACTCCACAAACTTATGTCAAATATTACTCCTAACAAAGGATGAATGTTACAAGTACAACACAAATGCATTCTTCTCAGCCAATATAAAAGGGCAAATGATATAAATGATTCACAGTCATCTCCTAATGAATGGCTCTGTTTTAATCACAATTGTCCAGGCACTGGTATATATCAATAATAAAAAATCAGAAACATCAAAGTACAGTTTATCACAGAAGGCAACATCTGAATAGAAGCACGTCATTTTAATTTGCTTTGAAGTTTAAAGCAATCCAAACAAAAGAGTTAACAATATAAATACAGAGTAAATGCACACAGTTTACAGCCAAGAATGTATGCAAGAATAATAGCAAACCTCACGAGTATGAAAGTATTCTCAAACTATCCTTTGTGAGTGTTTAGCTATGACTCTCAGGGCATAGTTATGTTCACATATGCAGGGTAGGCAGACTTTCTTAAATAGAAGAACTGAAAACTTACATAAATCTTTACAGACAAATCTGAAAAAAAAAAAAAAAAAGGAGCACATTTACCTAGGCACACTTCAGCGTTCAGCTTTTTCTGAATTTGAACAGTTCAAACAAGAAGCGATATATATAAAGGCTCTCCAAAATTTTGGATCTGGAAGTATTCTTTTAAAATACTACAGGTCTGAGGAATGTTACAAATGTAATCATAGAAACAAAAACATAACAGAAAATGTCATTAACAAACATCTCAATTACAAAGAAATATATGGAGTGCATTATGTAAACAGGGAACTAAATAGGTGCAACGTCAACATCGAAGTGAACAGGCTGATGATTCACTTAAAATAACCAAACTCCATAAAACTCTAGTGTAAACCTACTTAAAAGAACAAATGCTAGCAGATCTATTGGTCAGTTTAAGCGCTGGGTTCAGCCCGCTGCAACACAGCTCAGTTGTTAGCACAGCACTATAGGGACAGAAGGGGTAACAGAGGGGCTGTGAGACATGACTGCACTCACTGAGGTCAAATTTTTCCAATCTCAGGCCACCCTTGCCACATCACCCCTCAATATGCTGGAGAAACCCAACAACAAGCAGCACACACACTGTCACACACAGCTTGGCAGAGAAGCCCCTTTTTCCCTCTGATCAACGCGTGCTCCAGTGCCATCTTTTGGCAAGTTCTGCAAAGTGCAGTCTCAGTGTCCCAAAACTAACTGGTTGCCAAGTCGAAATTAGTAGCTTGCAGTAATATTTAGGGGCCTATCACAACAAAGGAAATATATGGAGAGAAACGAATTACTGAGACTTGTTTCTGACCTCCAAAACCTTTGCATCTTTGGCAGGGAAAAAGGTGATATAAATACACTATGCTCAAACATAAACTAAGATGACCATTTAAGTTACAAGAAAGTTTAAACACACTCCTTTCAGTTCTGTAGTTAAGGATATTACTAATGTAGCATGTTCTTATTCCCTTTACTTTTTTTGTTTTTAAATATCAGGCAAACAATATAAATAATTTAAAGATCTTTGGGAAATATTTTATGCAGAGGTAACTTTATAGGTATTGGTACTTTAACAAAAATCCAAGAAACTGGGTTTAAGTTTTGTTTCCTTAAATAAGTCAAAATAAAAAGATCACCCCTGAAGGCTAAAACATTACTTCAACCCCTATTTAACAAGGTGGAACTACAAGCTGATTGTCTATTTTTAGCTGTTATCACCCATATTTAATTGTCCTTTTTGCATTCTTTGCTTGCATTTTTATTTTAAAAGCAACTCCAAGTGGACTGATCTCACCCAGAAGGTACACAGGGTACCCAGTGAGCTGCTGGAAGAGATGTACATCTGATCAAAGGAGACTGCATTCAGTAAAATCCACAGGAGAGTAACCTGCACAAAGCCTGGACAAATGCAAATGTTAACTGTATTCACAAACATCGAAGCTGAAAATTGTCATGCCAATTTTAAGTTTGGCTCTCTCAATTGACTCAAGATAGCTGATGGGTAATCCACTTTTTATAGATCAGAAATTACAGTAAGTAGTTAGTCCTGCACTTAGTTGTCTGGATAATGGTATCACAGTAAATCTTTGAAACTCAGAGCCACAAATAATACTCTGGATTTCTCCTAGAGAGGCCAATTTTAGAACATACATTTCAGCATTCCCCTCAGTTCTTTAAAACCATCAAATTCACCTTTGTGGGTACATCACAGACCACAGTATCTGCCTTTAAAAGGTAAGACAACATTGTCCAAGGACAAAGATGACAATACAGACAAGATTCCACTGCAAGGTCACTGAGTGTGCACTATAAGTGGTTCTTAGAGGAAAAAGAAATTAGTACATTTACTTGAAGTACTCAAATATTTTGACAGTGGGGAAAACATTACATGGGTCAAAATAAAGTGAACAAGAAAAAGCCAGACCAATTGTTCCGTAAGCTTCAAGCCTTTATGTACAGCCTACAGAACTACTGCAACAGAGATCCTACAGGTCTATAGCAGAAAATGCTTTATCCTGCAGTTATATGGAAATCAAACCACATGCTTTGTTTAAAACCAAACTGCATGTACTGAACACAGTTTGACTACAGATAACCAGAGTGGGAAAGAAGAGTCACAAGCCAGAAGGCCACAAAGTGCATAAGGAGTCATTCATAAGAAAGCCATTGCACACAATGCAGAGTTTAAGTATACTGCAGTACCACACTGGAAGAGTCGATAGCACAGTTCTGTCATACCAGTGCAGCAGCATTCATGTGTAGAAAGCTATTGCCCCCAGTTTTATAATGGTCATCTTTCTCATTAGAATCATGGATGTAGACAGACAGATACTCAATGATTTGTCTGGAAACCTGCACAAGTTCTTATGAGATTAAACTTCTGTTTTTGACACAATTGTATGATTTTGGAAAATATTGTAAGTTATGACAGAATTAACAAAGCCATGCTGCTGAATGCAACACATCTTCGCAGCTGGCTTATAAAGCAACAAAACACAATGCTTGAATGTTCAGAACTGGAGGATAAGATTACATGTCAACTGCTGTTCTGACATAGGCTCAAACTGGAAAAAAATGATACAGCAATTATCAGGGGGAATGTTTACAAAAAAAAATTTACTTCTCCATTATTCTGTACAGAGGTTGTCTGCACTAAAGAAACTTATCAGAGCTCCAACTTTTTCTGCTTTCTAGTCCTTCCAACCATCGTGATGCATGATCTTTCCCTGTACTTAACTGTAGATACCAGTAAGCTAGGTCAAGCTCTATCCGAAGTTTTAGGATAAAAACAGCCTGTTCTGCAGTTGCACGAAACTCTGAATTAATCCTGTCTTCACGTATGGTAAGCTGAGCTAGTTAAAGATATCTTGTAACAGTAAACATCCTTTGGAGAGGCTATAAAGTAGCATTCAGCAAGTTCTCCCATGGCTGTGTAAGCAACTTGACAGACTGATGATACAGGAGGGTGTGTCATAGGCCTCTCTTTTTTAAAAAGGGGGGAAAACTTCAGAGAGGAAAAACGGTGATGCACAAGAACTAAAAGTATGCATACACCGTTATCAAGAAATTGATAACCTGAAGAGTTCAATAATCAGATTCTCTCTCACCAATCTGGAACACTGTTCAAATTTAAAAAGAAAAAATGCAACACAAGTATCACCATTTGTAGTGAAGAAGTAATTCATTTTGGGTCCCTGTGCCATACCCTATTTCTTGAGGTAGCAACATGGAAAGCTTTACACACTGACTACCTCAGTCTCTGTATGAATATTCAGAACAACTGAATGAAAATTTCAGATATGGAAAAGTATAGAAGTATTATCCTCATCATTCTTCCAATATGTTACTGTGCAGTAGAACAGAACAAAAAGGATGTGGTTGAGAGCAATCATTACAAGGTGGGAATAAGGCTGCCCAAAAAGTTCCATGTCCTTTCCCTCACACATTAACTCTCTGAAGATGACTGAATAGCCTTGTCTATAGATTAACAGATGGAAACAAAGTAGTAGTTTTGAATAAAGAAATGCATAAAGGCATTCCCTAAGGGGCAGCTTCTACTTGTTACATTGCTAAGAGACCATACAATAAGGCAGCAAAATTATAGTTGCCTACAATCAACTTTCTATTTTGTCCGTATCTGCATGTTCCTGATACAACTTTCCTTCTGCCCACCGCATCTGGCATTCAGTAGTCCACTCCAGTCTTTCAGTCTTCTGCCTTCCTCTAGAAAGACTTGTCACGCTGCTATCCATCCAGCAAGTAGACTACGACTTCATAGGTTGACATCATGATAGCTGTGTTTGGAATCTGTCTGACCAGATGTGTAGTTAAACCTCGGTAGAGGGATCCATACCCTTCTTCTCGCACAAGCAAAGATAATGTCTGGAAGAAAGATCTGTATTTTGTTCCCTCTTCTCTTAGCCTTGTTCGTACAACTTCTGTATAAAGGAAACCAGATGTGGTTATGTTTGTGATATCATCTTTCCCAGTAACCAACCAGCCATTTCACATTAAAAGTCAACCATTCCCCCATTTCAGATTCTCAATATCAGAGAAGCTCTTAAAAAAAAAAAAAGACAAACAGAAGTAAATCAGCTATGTGTAAGAGACAAACTAAACACTTATGCACTGTTGAATATATAGCTAAAGAAGAGGAGTTTACTTGTCAAAATCCAGAAGAGGACAGTCTGTATTTTTCGGCTTGGAAATGGTCACAAATTAAGTACTCAATACATCAATAAACTTAATGTATACATAACTACTCTGCTGAAAAATCAAGTGCAACCAAAAACCACACTATTTTCCTACAAGCCAGGAAGTTGTTCTCTCTGTATTGGGTTTATTTGGCCTTATCTCAACCTGTGAGCTTATTCCATTATATTTTCTCCCCGTTTTTCTAAGGAGGAAGAGTAAGAAAGCGGTGCATTGGTGCTTAGCTACTTACTGGTGGTAAACTACCACAGTCCCTCACTGAGTTACACGAAATTCCTGGGTACACAGATTCCAAGTTAAAAAATTCCATCTCCCTAAGCACTTCAGACCATACCCTGGCAAATCCCTGGGAAAAATAAACATCAACAAAAACCAACCATTGTATAATTCCATTTAAAATTATTTTTGTTTCCAAATATTACACTCACGTTGACTCACTGAATGTGCTGTGAATAGCATTAGACAAAAATTGTTCTTGAGCAAGTGAGTCAGTCAGCTACAAATCACTTGAAAGACTCAATTTGATCACACTGAGTCAGGCTCTCAACTACACAAGTCCCTCTTACCATGGGGATATGCTATTGATGTTGCACAAGTTTTAGAAGTGGCAGCAGCCATCATCATTCCAACAAAGTCCGAAGCTTCTTTTGCTGATTCATCCTCATTGTCCATGGCAGAAGCAGTCTTATGTTCCAGTAGTTTTCTCTTAATGCTCTCATAAATAACAAAATGAATAACAGTCTCAGATATGCCTGCATAGGATGCCGACATTCCTCTGTAAAAGCCTTTAATACCATCTGATCGATAAACTTTTCGGACACATTCAAAAGCACTCATTCGTTTTTCTCCACGGTTCCTAGGAAGAAAAGAACAAGACAGATATCAAACTGGTGCAATTTGAGATTAGAAAATAATTAAGCAGGTATTCTGAGTGACAAGAGGACTTAGGAAATAACTCACACCAACGTTGAGAGATTCTAATCTTGACATTTAAGTGAAGACACTCAATTTGGAAGTGAACACAAGTAAGACATTACAATGAATCCAAGCCAAACTTCATATGGTATGATTAAGGAAAAATGTCATACAGATGAATTGAATAACTCCAGGCTTCCCACAATCTTACAGAACAAAGAGCGAAATTGCCTGAAAAAACAGGCTCCCAAATGAACTGTAGAGGTCAGGGATTTGTGAAAAATCTGATGATTTTCTTCTGCATAATGAAAGGATTTTTCCTTAAAATATGCTTCAAATAAACAGATTCTACAGCATAGCAATTACATCCTGTTCTAGAAGTGCAGGTTTTGCAGTAAAGCCTTTAGGAATATACGGTTTTGAGGCACTGAACATGAAAAGAGCAGAGAGCAGCTATGATTCAAACAGCAGCCCTCACAGCATCACAGCTATCAGCAAACAACTGATATCTAAAGAGGGTCTACAAAACAATAGAACACAGGCAGTCTATCTGATTGAAGTAAGCCACAGCTGATGTCAAGGCACATACTCATTAGTCTTTGTGATATGCATACTAGACTTGAAGGACAATAAAATCTTCATCCTTAGCCTCTTGCTTCTTATTTCCATATGTCAAAACAAAAACTATAAACCCAAGTCAAGTTATACTAGATAGCATCAATGAGTATTTGGGTAAATAAATCTAACTCTCATTTTAGCTGACATGCTGAATTGAATTGTGCATATGGAAAGATTTATGATTGTACACAACTCTGCAAAGCCCTTATGATGATACATACATGCTTCAGTGCAGCACGGAGTGCATGCACTTGCAGCATACAAATTCTGCCAGCAGAGGTCTCCTGAATGAGCAAGTCGCACAGAATATAACACCAAATACCTTCTAAGATATTATTATGAGTCATATGGATGCTATCCAAGCAAGACAGATGTATGAAAATAAAATGAGGCATCACTAGATGGCAGAATTTAAACCCTGATGGTCTGAAACTGCAGTACCAGACAGCAGCAAAGCCCAACTTTAAGAAAAAGAGTGGGACAAGTATACACAACTGTGAATCTGAACTTGACTGAGCAAGGTGGCAAATACTCCACAGCAGGTAATGCTTCTGACTCTGATTTGCTGATGGGATTGGAAGAGTTGAAGAACAACTGGCAAGAAAAGCAGCTGGATCTATGTCTTCAGCTCCAAGAATATCCCCAGCCACAACTTTCTTGTGCGCCTGGATGGGTGAACTGATACAGACTGCTGTAAGTAGTTGTTATGATGTGAGAGCCTCAACATTGTTTCAAAGCCCCAAACACTTTCTTAACAGGATCACTGGGAGTTTTGAGAGGAACCTCAGCAGAAAGAAAATGAACATGTTACTGAAGGAAAACGTAAGCATGAGGCTGGAAGAATAATGTTTTAATCAGATTGATTACCTTGTAATTCATTCCTAATTGGCTGGCCAGTTTACTAGAGCGCCTCAAGCACACCACAGAACAGACTAATAGAGAAAAATGATGGTGTAACTCGTAATTGTAACTTGATCAGCGCCAACTTTCCAATTCAAAATTGTGAATATTGAGTCAACCCATTCTGAACAGCAGAAAAGATCCCCAGCATTTAAGCACAGTATTATCACAACAGAAATATTTCCAGTTTTAATTTGTAGATTTTTACTAGTAGATTCTTGTAAGATTCTTACCTTGCATCAAGCTGTAATCGTGTCTTTACTAGCCAAATGGGATTGGTCATTGTGATCGCAGTGAAACCTAATATTTAAAAATGGAAGAGTTAGATGTGACAGTACCATAAAAGCAACTGCAGCTAAGTTTGAAACGCACATGGTAAGGTAGGATGCAAAAACTCGGACTATACTGATTTTTAGGAAGTACCCACTGTAACCTTTTACTGATATTTTATGAATCCGTAAAGCCAAAAAACATTTAACTTTTTTAAAATTTTACATAATGATTTTAAAATTTACTCTTAGCAAGAGATTCCCCATATAAAATAAGCCAAACTGTGTATATTTCTATGCCTATGTAATTATACCAACCCTTTTTTGACACCTTAGAATATCAAAACTAGTCTAATATTAGCCAATTAACTTGGAAAACATTTCAGTAAGAACACACTGCAGATACAGCTATAGCAATTTGATATAGTATAAAGCATTGTGTCAATTTAACTTACTCTCTGAAATACAATCCGAGTTTAAAAGCATGCAAACTGAATAAATACTACTTTCAGTGCAGTTAAAAGGCATGTATTACTGTAAGTTAAGAGACCTTTTAATAGTGAACTATAAAGAGAAGTTAAATTTAAGAGCTAATGTCTTATTTTGCATTCAAAGCAGATTGTTGATTGCCAGGAATACTTTTACAAGCATATGAGTGTTTAAATTGTTAAAGTAAATAGTATGACTTCTAACTATCCAGACAGACAGCAACTATTTGGACTTGCATCAGGGCTATGGGTTAAAGCTTTGATTTTCAGTCCACTAAAGAAAAAGGAAAAGAAAAAAGACAAAATAAAAAAAAAAAGAGAGAAAAAAGAAAAAAAAAGAAGTAAGAAACACTCTTACTTCTGCACAACCGTGGAGAGAGAAAGAGCAAAGTGAAAGGCAGCTCTGAAAAAAAAAAAAAACAACAAACCATCTAGAGTTGTAATACCACACGTGCACCATTAATGAGGTGACATGTCTGCAGAAGAGAGAAGGAAAAGGGAACGACTGGAACATGGCCAGGCAAGAGATGATAAATTTAGACAGCTGCTTGCTAAGTGGCACACATCACTTGCATATCACTACAAAGACATGCTGCCCTCCTGCAAGGGAATGGACTGGGGTTGTGGGAAAGCAACAAAGAGTTATCTTGTTCAGTGCATACCTGGTACAAAATGCTTATACAAGTAACAGGGTATCAATAGGCTTGTTTATGGATATCATTAACAGCTTACATAAATATATATATTTAGTAGAACTGCTTGCATACCAGTTACTTCTGTTTAATCACAATCTATGTTTACACTGCACACAAATTACTGCAATACTCTGAGAAATGCCAGGGGATCTTAACTGTTTTTAAGCTCTGTTCTGCTCCTGCCCCCAGAACTCTTCAATAGATCAATGAGGAATTTCAGTTACAGCTTTAAGACAAACTATGGGGTTTAGAAGCTACTAAAAGTGAGTCACATTTCTGTGCCAAAACAGCAAGAACGCCTCAGCAATTTCAGTGATTAAATATATTTTTTAATTGACTAAATTAAAACTAAATAACTTCCTGTGAACTCACTGCATGGATCATACAGGCTTTTGGCTGATGCTTTTTTGATACACTACTTATTTTTTCTATGTCAAGATAACATATAACCTTCCATAGGATGAAATCCTAACAAGCCAGAAGTGTTTTATACCTGCATTTCACACACTTCAAATAATTACGTGAAACCTAAAAACCATCAGGGACTTATCTAATAGGCACTGGACGATTTAAAAACATAACATCTGCAAAAAAAACATTCTGCAGTTCAACCAGTTTGAGCCTTTCTGAACCTGTCTGCCACACTATAGCACAGGAATTCCACTGATTCCAGCAGCACTTGACCCCGAACTGAACTAAATGTAAATTTTGCATTTTCATTTTCCTATCTCAAATCAGAGGTTTTCCACAGGTACAGTTCCTGTTGGATACTAGAAGTGAACATGACTGAAACAGACACTTTGCAATAAGTGGGGAAAATAACTAACTTCCCCTACCACACACATATTCCAGGAGAAGGCTTCTCTTAAAGGTAAGATCCATTCTAAAATCCCTTCTTAATTTGAGATGTTTGATAAGTTGAACAAGACCAAAATACTTTTGCATTCCTATTTATCTCAGGTACACGCTCTGGAATTTCATTAATGTAATACTGTGTTTTGCAGTACTATTAGCTCAGTACTTTCTCTTTCCTATTCAGCCCAAATAACTGGCTTCTAAAGATGCTTTATTTGTTACAGGAAACAAAGATGAGATCAGAGGCAATATCTGAGTGATAGCATTTGTCCAGAGCAGCAGCCTCATTCTTCAAGGCAGGCTGAGAAGGAATATACTGGAAATGGCCAGTGAATGGTGGCTGGCACAGGACACAGCCTACTTTGTCCAAACATGTTCTCCTTGAGTTGCTGTACACATTATTTAAGAACAGCACTGCTAACTGTAGGCTCAGACATCTAGCAAAAGCCATTTTATCTCCAGGGCTGCCATAAGCCCAAGCAGCATGAGAGCTCCATCAAAGCTTTCAAATCAAAGAGCCTCCAGCAACTCAGGTTTCAACATGAAACAACCACAAAACTCAATTCTTAGAAGTAGTAAAAATACAGTCAGTAAAAGAAAAATAAAAAGTTGAGTGATGCTGCCCTCAAGAGGCTCCAAAATATAAATATCCAGAATTTTGGGATCTTTGATAAGCTTTTCTTTACAAATACAGAAAGCCTATATCGTAAGTATTGCTTAAAAAATGAAGGTGAAGGATTCCCAGCAACTACTAAGCAGCTCTCATTCGTTATTTTAACTTTGTCAATGTGATATATCCTCAAGAGATTAAGATTTCATTACAAATGCAGATCAATCTGGCAATACCAGAAACTCCTGCACTTCTATGTTTTAGTTTGTTCTGTGAATTCCTATCCAAGTTTCAGATTGAAAATGCTATCTCAATCAACTTTTTGAGCTACATCAGCTAATGACAGGTAAGATCCCAGGTATTCCTATTTATGCATCATATTTCAGAAGTTATATGTATTTTTAAATCTATAAGCCAATGTAATTGATACAGACGCACATGAATATGGAATGCTGAATCAGAAATCCAAAATAGTAAAATAAAAACAAACCAAAAGAGAAAACAGAAAGACAGAAAAGAGACTGTAGACATATTAAAAAGAAAAAGAAAAAAAGAGGTCTTCAAAATAACGTGACAACAAATATCAGCTGCAGCATTTTAAAGGCAGCTCTGGGACACTCAAAAAATAAAAAAGCCTTGTTTGACTCAGGAAGGGACATTGAATTAGCCAACAGAGCTAAGTAAAAGTAGCAGCTATCAGTGAAAGGTATTTTCCACCTTTCCCTGAACCGCACAGAAAAAATTAATTCAACAGAGTTCAGGAGAAGTGTTGTCTTTGCACAATGCACACAATGTGTATTCAAGATAATGAAAGTGAATTCCCCTTAATTTGTTTATTTAATAGATATTACAAACCCAACGTGTGGTTCTTACACTAGAGGCTGCAAGAGACGCTCAGTTCAGTACTCACGAGGTTTAAGTTAGTCCATATTTCTGCAGGAAGTGACCTGCGGATGGGGAGCATGAGATGACACGATCTCACTCTTTTCACGGGAGAAATGTACAGTAAATGCCTAAAATAGACACAGGCTTTTCTGTATCATAACAACAAGCAGTGACCTCATCAGACACATGTGTACAAATCGAATCCCATTGGAAGGGTTTGTGAATTATTTTGAGATCTAACTTTTTTCAGGTAAAAGTTTAGGAAAAAAAGAAAGAAAAATAATCAGAACAGGCCACAGATAATAAAATAGTTGCATAAAATGCACTGAGTACTGAAATTTCTGCTCATTTGCAGCAGTTCAATTTTACATCTCCAAATACTTACCTATGTATGAGATGGGTAAGTGAACCCTCCTCCTTTCCCACACCCTCCCAAATATCATTCAAAAAAAAAAAGCCTGCCTGCCTCAGGACTGAAAAAGCAAGGTAGATGCCTTATGAAATCGAAGTTTCTAGTGTCAATAATCAGCAACCAGTAAAATACACATTTTACTTAGTATTTAGTTAACTGTGTACACTAAAAAGTTACATGTTATCTTTGCTAAGAAAGCAGTCCCAAAAAAAAATCTACGCTAGCATTGGTTGGGTTTGTTTGCTAGTAGAGTTACAAAAAGAACAGCAATAGTACTTCAGGCAAAGTAAGTTTTGAAGCAGATTTGCAACAATATTGCCTGAATGATGCTATCAATCATTAAAAAAGCAAATCAGAAAGCCATACAGGAATCAAGCACCCCATTCAGTTCTTAAGTTTTTGTTCTCTGCTGGAATAAAAGATACTGAGCTAGTGAAATGAGAAGGCAGAATTCACAGTGAATCTGAAAATTTAGCCTAACTTTGGAATGTACAGAGAAACTACCTTCACACAGCAAACACTCATTCTTGTATGCATGCTTCAGATCCACTCACTGTCTGAGCTTTCAGTAAGAATCGTGTGATATGTCAGGCGGTAAGCAAAAAGTAATTTAATACTTCATGGGGGATACACTGATATTTTAGAGATGAAGGTGATGCAAATTATATTGTGGAAACTAGCACACAACAAAAGAAAAATATTTTCTAATTGCATAAGGCATCAGTTACTAATATGTAGCATAATTCACCCTCCACAGAAAAAAAGCAAATGTACTGAAGTGTAAATAAAACCAACGATGTCTGCTTCATTTTGGGAAGGAAGAATCAAGCCTAAAACCAAGGTCTATAATACTGTACCTCAGTTTCTTGCTTCCAAAAATGCCATATGTATAAAGTAATCTACTGTGCAATAATATTAGTCTAGTATGGGATATTTACATATTAACATCAATACAAGCAAGCAGTATTTCGAGTTTACTGCAGTTCACTGCTTACAATGCTTTCATACAACATATTAATGAAATAAAGCTATGGATAACTTACATGCAGTTTAAAAAAAAATCTGTTTGCATCATTGTATTTTTCAACCTATAAGAAAAGTTTGGTAAGTGCAAACACCACCTCATGCTCATTAGGCATCAAAAACCTCTTAATTAAGACTGAGGCACTCATTTCCTTACTGAAACCAATGGCAGCTGCAAAAGAAAAATGAATACTGATTATTTCTGCTAGTTGTAGTGTTTATCCAGCTTGCCAATTCTGCAATTTTAGGTTCCCAAACATATTACAGCAAACTTCTGTTAACCTCTTTAAGTCAAGCAGTTAGGAGGTCTCATTTGATTTTGCCCCTGTTCTTTTGCCATTTCCTTGAGATGATTTGCATCACATCGCAATACAAACCTTGCTGGTAAAACTTAACAGGTGGTTTAAGTGCATTGTCTGAAATATATCAGAATTATAAAAACAAGGTTAGCATGTTCCCCAAAAAAACAGTTAACACACTGTTTATAAGTACAGTCCTTTACACGTTTATCAAAACAGCAGTCGTACTGAGTGCCAAGAAATTCTTTGTAAAAGAACCTTCTTGTACAGGTCTTCCAGAGAATGTCTGGAATATACAAAAGAAACATGACCTGCAGCATGAACCTGCACTAGGCATTCAGTTATATTAGTTATATAGGTTAAGAACACAACTGCAGAACTAGATAAGTGTGAGAAAGATAACAGCCACATAAATGTTCAATAATAAAGTGACTGTAAAAAAAAGCAAATAGCAGTTTGGGCTAAAATACATTTACCTCAGCCTACATTTAGCAGCAGTCTTAATTGCAAATGCAAAATACAATCTTCTGAAAGGGAAGCAAGTCAACAGGCACATACAGAACTCCTTGAAAAACTGGGTCTGCAAGTCCTTGGAAAGTCACCACACCACAACTCCACAAAAGTTCTTGTTGTTATCGATAGAGGGCGATAAATTCCAAAGGTACAGAAAACCAACTCCTCATTTGTTTGTAGTAATGCATGAGTTTTACAGTATGATCTTCAACTGAGGATACACTAATCCTCCCTCCCTAGCATGCATACATTTTCCCCCTTTAGAATTCAATTTTTTGCTTTATTCTCTTAACAAACAGCTGAAGACAAGAAAAAATAATTCTATAATTAGGGTTTCTGAAGTGATTAGGATCAACTTTTCATGAAACTCCTCCCACTTCATGCTACTCACAAATAAAACACATGCTGGTAGGTGGGGAGAAATACTCTATCATTTGAGAACCCTATTTTGCCTGTTTAAGATAAATGGCTGTCCTCATGTCTTTAACTTGAAAGATTAAATACTGCCACCACACTTCTTATATGATGGAGCTAAGCATTAGCGTATTATTTAACTAAGAAGCTAATGTCACTTAAATTTACTACGGTATATAACAATTTCTTTGTAATAGATCATTAGCAAGTATTAAACAGAAGTTATTCTGATCATTTTTTTGTCAACATCCTGGGCAGCCCATTGACTGTGAAATTTGGCATGAATTAGAAAATTCAAAAGCCTATAATAATACTGCAGAATTCATCCGTGATTATCCATGACCCATGCAGAAAAACTTCTTAAAATTTGTTTCTGTATAGAAAACACAGGCAGCTACGGGCAAATTGTGAGCTCAATTTTTTCAGGTTAAGTCTGTTATCAGAACCTTTAATTCCTCATTAACAATCCCCAAAACACAAAACATGTAAGTTAAGTAACAACAAGTACTGTCAATTGCTAAAATATACTGGAGTTACATGGTAGATTAAAGGAATTCAGTTTCAGAGAAAATATATGAATATGATGGAAATCTGCTCTTCTATGTCACTTTAGTGGTGGAATAAACTTCACATAGATCAGTGTTTGAGCAAAGGATGTCTGGAGGGGGAAGATGGACAACTGTTACATATAGTTATACAAATCTGGAGGCATATTTCAGAAAGACAAAAATAGGTCAGACATATAAAGCTGCAACAGAAAACATGAGCATAAAAAATAGATTAAGAATTAGCCTAAGTTCAATGCACACAGTGCTGTTTATAGTTTGCAGAACAGATAGCTACTGTGTTTAAAGCATTCAGTTTTTGTGTCACAAATTTACAACTGAGGGAGCAGGCATGCAAGTTTTCCTTGTAAAGATTATTCTCACAGTTTAAAGATTTTCATTAACACTAAGTGCAATGTTTCTTGCGCATATTTCTCCAAGTGCCTTATAACAAGGGGCCAAAACAGGTAACAGCTACCAAAAGAAGTCATTCAGCTACCAAACATTCTGCTTTTTTTCCCCCCACACATTTACAACCAACTCTCATTTGTCACTGGGACTGTAGAATGAAGCTATAAAGTTACAGATCCTTACCTGCCACACCAGCTGAAATCATGTGTACCTGGGTAGAATCTGGATTGAAAATATTGTTCAACTTTTCCTTGCAGTTTGAGTAAGCAGCAAAATATATCGCTCTAAAAGTAGAACAAGATGTGAGTTATGCTGTTTTATGTGTTGATGCCCTTACAGGCAGTAAGGAAAAACTGCTCAAGGAATAATTCCTGCATAGCAATGGGACTATTTTAGGAATGACAAAATGAGAACACCAAGGGGAAGGATACATAATTGAAAATACAGCAGTGGCTTGTGTGACAGTAAGAAATCTACAGTCAGGAAAGCAAAATAACTGAGACCTGAAGGTATATTGCTCAGTATTTCTGTAACAGCACAGCTTTGTTCTAATGACATAACTGTTTTCAACATTACAATCTGAGAAGAATCATCAAATACATAGGGCTTTTTGTTTGGTTGTTTATTTTAAAAACCAAACAGGGCAGATTTAATAACTGCAGGTTATAAATATTTATGTTTAAAATGCTTCAGCAGCTGTAAACATGGGATCTGAATTTTCTTTCTCTAGCTCTGTATTTGGAATAGGCACTTTGCTTTTTTCCTCAATACATTACACCGAAAATACTTGTGCTACATTCAAGTCTGCAAGCTGGTATCAAAACAAAGCTAGACAAAAAATCATGTCAATGCAGTCATAAGAATACTTGTTTTCATTCATGAAGGCCATAAAGCTGATCTTAAGTACATAAAAGAACTTACATTTGAATTTATAACTCAGGTTTTTTTAAACATCTTTACAAAAGGAAAAAGTAATACAAGTTTTCATGAACAGAACATCAACCTCATTAGCTGTGCAAACATGTTTTTCTTTGTTACAAGAAATGATAAAGTGTTTGCCTAATGGATGTAATTTCTAAAATGGAATCTGGACCCAGTTAAGTATACTGGATATGTTATAAAACATGCTTCTCTACAGCTTATTTAAACAAAGAGCTGCTGTTAAATCCACTTAGCTAGTGCTTAATTGAAATGAAGTAGTGGATGAAAACAGAGTCTGCTGGAGGGGAACAGGGATGTGCCTGTTTATAAGGCATTACACCAAGAGGACATTTTAGCATGAACACCAAAGAAAACAAGCTAGCTAGATGCAAACAGAAATTACTGAAAAGAAATCCCCTAAAAACTTCTTAGCAACTGAGGCTATTCTTCATTGAGGGTAGTCACTTCAAAATGCTACATAAGAATGACTATTGTAACGGATCTGTTAAGTCTCTTGCAAAAGGAAAACAAAAGCTGATTAAGGGAGGGAAAAAAAAAACAGCAAATGTTAAATTGTCCAAGAAATTATTACCCCTAAACAACGATGAAGAGATCAGTGGGCCTTTATGGGTCAATAAATGAGATATAAAAATTACTTTATTTTGTAGAAGGAAAAAGTGAGAACTGCAAGTACAAGACTGCAGTCCACACATGGTGTGCATCCCCATGATTTTACTAGCATAAAGAGAATAAAGCTGCAGGTTCTAAACAATGAAGCTACAACTACGCATTATTACAGATGAACACAGAATGCAACAGGGGAGATTAACAGGGACAGGAGGTGAGAGAACTTCCTAGCAAAGGCATCTGTTGGAACCAGTGAAAGCCACAATACTGAACATTCAGATCCAGACTAGACTCATCAAGTCCACTCTTCAGCATAGAAACTATCTAGATTAAAAATTGGGAAATTAATTATTCTAGCCTTATCTCATTTTTGTTTTCCCTCACCTGCTACCTTCATTTTTTTGTTGATGGTTCCTAGTTTAGAGATACACATTATATTGTACTTGGCAAAGTCTTCAGATGCTAATTGCCCAGTAACAGCAGATTAAGAGAACATGACAAGATTTTCCTTTCATATTTGAAGAAATTACATTCAGAATGATGCACTATTACATATTACATATTGATATCCTGTAGGTATCAAGAATACAAAGCTACAATCACTTCAGCTTCTCCAAACACCAGTGCTAAGTTAGCGACCAGAAAATACCCAAATTATTCAAAATATTTCAAAAAAATCAGCTGAAATTAAAGTATTCTGACTGCTGGATGATGCTTTTCTCTTATTCATACAGAGAATCTACAAAACACCACCTCATCTGATTCAAATAGAAGATAAAGCAATGATGAATAGAAAACCCAGCTTAATAACATTTTCCAAAAGCATGCAAGGACACTGAACCACAACAGTTAAGATACTCCCCGAATCAGTGTGCAGGAGATGGGAATATTATCTTCTGCTCAGATAAAAAGAAAACAGAAGAAGGGCACAAAGTCAAGAGAAGAATAAAATCATCATGACTATATATTCCTGATGCAAAAATGCTTTCATCTTAAAAACAGAAAAGAATGAAAATGGGCCAAAAAAACGACCAGCTTCAATCAGGATTAAGCAATTGTAATAGTTCTACAAATCTGTGCTTACATATTCCTCCTTAGACATTCTATTTTTGAATGAACTGTGGCTTATGCTTGTACGCAAGGATCAATACAAACTTGGGCATAATCCACACCTCACACTGCCTGACTCTAACACTAGGGTAGCATTTCAACCAACGCAGAATAATTGACAGCAGTAATACCATTGTCACTTAGACCAGATTTACATTCTGACCTGCTTTATTTTCTGAAACTGCCCTTCTGCCCTTTGGAGTTCAGCCCACTGCTGGATCTGCTTAATCTGTGACAGGTGTTAAGTTTCACCATACTCATTCTTATCTTTATTCACATTTCAGAAGGCCAGTAGTCTGTGCTTCACTAGAGTTTATGTAGGGAAAAGAGCCAGTGTTTTGTGCCTACGATCATACAATTATATTCCAAATGACAGATTAACTGAAGGCTAACTCTATCTATGCATAAGGTACAAACTTCTGTTTACAAGTGCAACTCCTTAAAAATATTCCTTCTTAACTGGAAGAAACTCAAGAGTAAGGAATTGCATACAGAACAAAGTATTAGGAAACGCTGAGACACCTGGTGCAGGAATGTGGGGTCTGGAGCAGCAAAGCATGAGTTGTTCAGTATTTTCAGATACCATCTGTCCCAGGAACGAAAGGATAACTCTAGTAAGTATTTAGACTGCAATAACTCACTTGAAATAAGCCCTCAATCTCTTGAAAAATACACAGCAACCAAAATTTCACTGAAATTATTCCACTTTGAATATCTATATTTACCTGGAAGGAGCAACGCCTACCAAGTTAGGACCCAGCCCTCTAAACAGAGAACGAGGACCTTCCTTTTGCAAGATCATCCTAGAAAACAAAAGCAACAATATTTTAATATTCATATCAAATTTAATGAATGCATTGATCAGAGTCAACATGGCACCACTTTAAGCTTTGATCATTGTGTATAGCTTTGACAATGCAGTGTTGACCACAAAAGTTCAATCACTTCCCAAAATCAGCATAAAATTTCATTATTGCTTAAAGTACCATAAAAAAAAAACAAGAACTAAAGGCAGAAGTCAGGCCTCACAATGTCTATACAGACTTTTCTCAAAGATCAGATTTTACCTATGATTGCTACTCATTGTTAAGCTGCTAACATGTCCTTTTATTAGTAAGAAAATACCGAGCACTGAAGTGATCACATTTCTGTAGGCTCTCCTAGATGGCACTAAGGAGAAATGGCTTTAGAGAGATTCTGTCCTATATTCCTTCCATACTCCTTAGCTCACAGATTTTGAGAACATTTGGGGGTAAGAAGGGCAGAGCACGGAGGAAGAGAGTTATAAAGATTCAGTTACAGGTACAGCTATAAGCCTCCTGAGAGTATTCACTCTGTTGCTAAAATCATGCCCAGCCAAGCGTATATTTTATAAGCTCCCACCTACCCTTCTCATAAAGACAGAAACCTCAGTATGATTTTGCATGTACTGCCCTGGTTTGATTCTACAAGATTAAGTACAGTAAGTCACCTGTCTGAACTTCAAAGAAAGCAGACTTTCAGATAAGAAGCACTGCCTTCTCTGTTCCCATGCATGAACGTAAATCAACATGTTAGAGAACATGGTCTGTCCCATTTTCATGATTTTGAACTGCAAGACCTTTGTTCTGCAAGATTCAAGCTACCATACATGCGACTTCTAGCAGTATGCACTCCCTCATCCCTCCAGCCCTTCATGTTTCCCTGCAGGGCTTCTTCCTATGCTGGTGTGCAAGTTCACAAAGCTGCAGGAACCTGTGTCACTTGCTGCACCACAATACAGCTCTTTCTGTGATAGAGGTACTCAACGTCTTCATTCTATTGATTGGGTAAAAAATTATTAGTAATCACTTAAGATATAAGGTACTCAGTTACTAAGTTTTCAACTAGAAATGCATTCTTTGCGTTACTCTTTCTACAAGATAGAGATTATTTTGACTTTGATGTCCCCTATAATAAAAGGAAATGGAAACATCCAGTATGAGAAGTGGCCCTTCCTTGAGGCTTGGAGGCTTTCAATTCTCCATCCAACAGCAACACCTTAACAGTTCTGAGCCTCTGCCTGTATCCTCCTACCCAAGCAATGCTGCCAGCCATGGAGCTGGTGGGTCTTCTCAAAATCACTACTGAAGACAATTCTCACCTCCTCTCACAAGCAATAAGTCACAGTACTGTCCTAATCTTATAGGAACCAGATTCACTATAAATACAATTCTGGAAAGATTGCTTGGTTGGCAAAATTTTATGTGACCTCCTGTCTTTGTGAGACTTGCAGTAAAACAGGGAATACAGGAAGTCAGTTGATAGATCTCAGAGGAGGAATTACACAAACACTTGGAATATCCATCCCACCTACCTGTGGTTTCTTAAAAAGAGACCAAGCTGAAGACTGCAGCAAGATTTTTTGGTACACAGATGATATCCACAAATATTCAATTTTAGTGAACCCTATCTGATAGATGAATGCTATCTGTAGCATAGAAAGAGATTCCAGAATTATTCTGATTTCCAGAAGCTGAAATTGTGTATTTCACAACAGCTCTGCTGTCAAGTCAAACCAGAAGTTTAATAAGTTTATACTCAGTAAACAAAATAAAATAGTGGTTCTGAACTGTTGCATCAGTATAAAAAAGTCATCATGACTGTTAGGAATGTTGGCATATAATGTGTCCAGCAATAATTTAGCTTCATATTCATGATAGTTACTGAGGTCATTGAGTGAGTCGCTTCACAGAAATAATTAGAGTACTGAATACATTCAAAAGTGCTTCAAAAATCCTCATTACTTGAGTGTATCTGCCATCCTGAAACCATTCTAATACTTACACAGAAGGAACTATCAAAAAATTCTTAGCATAGAGTTCAGCACAGTCACAGTATCAGATTATAGCAAAACTGAACCCAATTAACATGCGACCTGTCTTCTCAAAGCACTCTAACATTAAACACCTACCACTACAATATAAAGCATTGCACATATTATACATAAGCATGCATATATATGAATGTGTATAAAGCAGCAGAAACTTCAATGCTGTTGCGAAACTTGAGTGAAGTCTCCATTTTGTTTCTTCTGGATCTACAGCATCCCAAGACTTGTCAGAGCAACAAATAACAGAAGTCACAGAAGAATTTCCATCAACAGCAAGCAGGCAAGACTATAATGGCGATAGTTACTGATGCTCTTCTGCATCCACAGACATCAGCTGGAGGAGTTACAGTCTACTCCGAAAATATGACAAACTTTTTGAATTAAATATCAGATCTCAAAGTCTCTACTGTTTATCAAAAGCAGTAAATGGCAAATCTATGACTGGGAGAGCAGCAGTAATGTTCCATTCGGCCCCAATTGACCTGCAAATATCACATGAGTAATCTGCAATGCAAGGCTGATCAGATTTCTATTATCAAGACCTCTGGTTTACACTCAGCAAAGTCAGACACAAAAGGCATCAACAATATGATATATACCCAACAGATATTTAGGAATAAGAGAATTCACTTCTGTTGCCAGAGAACACAGTCACCTGCATTGGCTCATATGAGTTTATTTTCCTGGCACAGATGCCTCTGATATCACCACTGTAGACTGTTTAGGTAAAGTGATTCCACAACAGTTAGTTAAACTGATATTCTGACTTCACTTGCACAAATCATCCTAATTTCAGACAGAGTACTGTAAGCCCATGCACAAGTCTTGGAGCACTGCACTGAATTTAGTATGAGAAAAGGACAACCAAATCTGACTCTGCAAGTCTGAAAATGTTAAAAAAAGCCTTCCATGCAAGCAGCTATTTGGGTACAAGTTTTATTTAAGCACCATCCTCTACTCAGATAAACCCTAAATCTTACACAGCAATTGCCAGAAGAGACTGTCTACAAATTATTTCACCAAATTATTCTGGTTAGCAGTAGCTGGTCTGAAGCTTAACTAAGTCTTTCTAATGCAAGGAGCAATAATAGATCCTTCCTGGATGAGAACTCCCCTCTTATATCCAATCACTAAAGCTACCTTCCCATAATAGGCTAGTCCCCCAAAGTGAACTCTATCTGTGATCAGCTCTAGCAGTATAACTGTGGACAGAGACCTCTCCTGCTGGCTACTTCACGAAATAAGCACTCAAGAAGGGGAAGAAATGCAGTCATAGAATCATAAAATGACTTGGATTGGACAGGACCTTTAAGATCATTTATTTCCAAGCACCCTGCTGTGGACAGGTTGCCAACAACCCGATTAGGCTGCCCAAGAGCCTATCCAACCTGGCCTTGAACACTGTCAGGTGTGAGGCATCCACCACTGTTTTGAGCAACTTGTTCCAGGGCCTCACCTTTTGCTAAGTAAAGAATTTCTTCCTAAATCTTCCTTCTTTTAGTTTAAAACCATTCCCCCTTGTCCTGTCATTATCAAACCATGGAAAAAGTTTCTCTCTCTCCTGTTTATTAGCTCCCCTGAAGTACTGGAAGGTTGCAGTGAGGTCTTCCTGGGGTCTTCTTTTCTCCAAGAAAAAACTCAGCTCCCTCAGTATCCCTTCCTAGGAGAAGTACTCCAGCCCTCTGATCATCTTTATGGCCATCCTCTGGACGCACTCCAACAGCTCTACATCTTCCTTACGCTGGGGCCTGAGGCCTGGACACAGTACACCAGAGGGAGCCCCATGAAGGCAGAATAGAAGGGGACAATCATGTCTCTCATTCTGTTGGTCACCCCTCCTCCTTTGATGCAGCCCAGGGTACTGTTGGCCTTCTGGGTTGCAAGCACACACTGCTGGCTCATGTCCAGCTTTTTTTTTTCATCAGGACCCTCAACTTGTTCTCTGCAAGTCTGCTCTCAATGAGTTCTCCTCCCTGTTCAAAGAGATGCCATGCAATCAAAATGTCCCAGGCCACAGTAAAATTTGACCACACTTATCTCTTACTAGCTCTAAGTGTCACTAGGCACACGTTTACTAGACAACACCAAAATGGCTTCTAGTCTCTGTTTTCATCAACATGCTTGATTTGGACACAAACCAAGTTAAAAAAAGTCTTGTATTAACAAACCATTCAGCACCTAATTGGACTTCTCTGTAAGGAATCTACATAGACTGGAGAGTTGGACAATCAGTAGTATGAAATTAAACAAAGGAAAACGCAGGCTTCTGCACCTGGGAGGAACAATGCCAGAAACAGGTACAAATTGGTAAACAAGTGACTGGAGAGCAGACCAGCAGAAAGGATCTGGGGGTGATGGCTGACAGCAGGCTCTACATAAGCCCTGACAGCCAAGAGGGCAAGCTACATTTTGGAGTGCATTAAATACAGCAGAAAAATGCATTCAATACATTACAATACATTAAAAAGATGCAATTCTCTCATATGAGCAGATCTGGGCTCCACAATATGAAAAGGAGGTTACGATACTTGAAAACATCCAGAGGGGGGCAACAAAGCTGGTAACAGGGCTGGATGGTATTTCCTATGAAAAGAGTCTAGGATTGTCCAGTCTGGAGGCAAGGAAGTGACCTCACTGCTCTCTGCAACTCCCTGAGCAAGGGAAGCAGAAAGAGGCAACACACTCTGCTGCTGAAAATGCACTGGGAATGATTAAGAGCTGTGACAGGGGAAGATCAGACTGGATGTAGGAGAAGTTTCTTCACTGTGAGGATGGCCAAACACTGGAACAGGCTTTCTAGAGCAGTGGCTGATGTTCCACACCTGCCAGTGCTCAAGTGCCCACAATAACATACTTCAACTTTTGTTTAGCCTTGAAGTGGTTGGACAATTGGACTGGGTGATCTTTTTAGGTCCCTTGCAACTAAACTGTTCAAATTTTAAGTGTTAAGAATGCTTCCAGTGAGTTTTGGGAATGTAAGCTGGGGTTCTTGTGAATTCCACAAGGTATGCATGTTCTGGATAATTCAAGGCACAGACTCGAAAATGAAAGACACTTGGAAAACTAGAATGTGAAACTTATAGTTAAATGGCAAAATACAGGAAATGTAAAAGTGAGATGACAGACACAGAAGTCTATCTTTTACACAGATTTATCCATTTGTCTAGCATGCCTTCCCCTCTGGCCCAAGAACCAAATCAGATAGCTAGTAACGTGTACACTCACTTCAAACAATGGAGAGGTCCTGGAGAAACTCTAGTTACTCTATTGACACTAGCACCATTCACAGTGTTGAGATGAACTTCAGAGATGTACAGAGTCACAGAAGAGGACTGCAATCGTGTTTTCACAACTTCCAGTGGACATGTCAGAATTGCACCAACAGTACCTCCACATCTGCAAAGAGAAATAGGATCACCATTTTCTAAACTGCAAAGAAAATAAAGAACACAGTAATGTTACAGAGAGCAGAGACGAACAGCAAACAGTGAAGAAATAACGGTATATGCATGATAATGGTGTAATTACTTGTCCTTGAAGACAAGCAAACAGTTAATCCTTCAACATTTAGTGAAAATTTTAACAGGCAAAACAAAAGTTTCCCCAAGTGGTGAAGGTGTACTGTCTTCAGCACATGCTGTTCAAATCCATTCTGGAAAGTAGCTCAGCATTTCAAATGTTTAACTGCCTGTAGTAAATTTTAACTTTTTTTTTTTTTTTGAATGTTGTTTTTTTTGAAGGTGCTCCTGGTCACAAAAGAGATGCCAAAAGTCCTTAAGAGTAGAGCATAATTTGTGCAGTGTGCACACAGAGCTGTGCTCATCATTCTTAAGAAAGCTAGTAAAAACTGTACTGTGGCAATTTAATAGATTAGAACCAACAATCTCCCTTTGCATTTTGTGCATGCTACCATGCAAAGTAATGATTCATTGAGTATTTTTTGAGCTCTGCCCATTACACAGCATGAGACACTGGATCCCAAGCACCAAATGCTGTAGAGCTGAATCTGGGAAGATACAAGTCTACCCCTCATTTTTGTAAGAAAGCTAAACATATATGAGTGACTTACACTAGCAAAGGAGTTCTCCACTTTCTGCTAGAGCAGAGTACAGCCAAGAACACACTGCCATTCAGCAGCTTTGCTCAGAGGATTTCTCAGGTGCTTGCTCATAAGCTAATTATTAATATGTACATTCCTGTTTAACCATGACAATATACAACCTCTGAGAGAAGAATATCAAACCCACAAATTCTCATTCCAAAGATAACTCCAAATTCTTTGATACAACTCTTACAAAAAAAAGAGCTTGGCTTGAACCTTTTCAGAGACCAGTATTGTCTCAGCTTCACCAAACACTATTCTTAAAATAACCAGGACATTTTTGTACCTACCCCCAAAACCAACAAATTTAGACTGCTCAATGCTACCAACACCACCACTAGCAACCACATAAATATAATCTGTATTACATTCGAAGGGCTCAGCATTCTTTTCTCTCAAGCAATAAGTAGAGCTGGTAATTAATCCTGGCAAGCACTGAGAAAAACATTCTATTTCATTGGAAGTTTTTTTAAAAGCCTCAAGGTTTGTTTAATAGCATTTTTAATGCTATTAAAGTCTTCCAAAATGAAGGGAGAATTCAGTACAAATTAGCAGTAATACCCAGAACTCAAGATCTCCTAGATTTCTGTAAAGAGTCTGTCAAGTACCATACTTAGAGTCCATGATGTATCGCTGTTTTCTGCTGCAAATAATACCAGAAATGGCAGCACAGCATTGCATCCTAACATGCTAATCTGTTTGTAAGAATTGAACTGAGACTATTTAACAATAGTGTTCAATATGCTCACCTATCGCTCCTGTTTAAATTAGCAATCTAGAAATAGCCTATTGTTAGAGCCTGGAGGCACGTCTTCCCAGCTCTAACTCCAACATTAAATTGAAATTTACCCTCTTACACATTTGAATTGAGGGAATAAAAGTTTGTCAGCTTGAAATAAAGCATCAGCACATGAAGATGGTAGCCAGTTTCCCAGTGCACTGTACAGAAGTTGTAAGACTGATACAGCTTTTAGAGTAGCATCTCTGAATGAGCATTTTACTTGCCTACTCTTCTAATGTTATGCTACAAATACATTTTTAAAATATGACAGACTAGACTCAAGACAGCTTGCTGGAACAATTACAGCAACAAGCCCATCTCCAAGACAGACAACAAGCTGCTGTATTTCATGCGACTCAACAGCAGCAAGTGCTGCATGGCCATGAGCATGTGCAGGCAATGCAGGAAGCTGGCTTCAAGGTTTATTTCATTTCTTGCAACCCCTTTTTTTTCTGATCCCTTAGTACCTGCTTCCACTTAAGATCTTTCTGCATTTGATTTTGGGCAGGTTACATGAGGATTTACTTTCAAGCAACAGCAAGAAAAAGTGCATGGTATGTAATGAGATAAATACTATGGAATGGGGAAGAAATGAGCAGTTGAAAAGTCAGGTGCCATTCATCAACAGGGCTTGGCATTTGGAACCTTTAATGCTGCTAGCTCCACCACTACTCCACACTGGAAAATTTTTCTGAAGTTGAAGATTAACACCATCCTGGAGGCTGCATTTTCACGCTCCCCTGCACCACTCCAAATCACCACAAGGGATGGGTGCCTGACTGCAATAGCACTGGTCAGACTTCCCTCAGCAATGGAATAACAGACAGCTAGGGAATGGGACAGACACAAACCTTCGCAGTGCTTGTTCCTTCCAAGTTCGCTTACAGCAAGCAGTGCTCCGTGATAACCATGTGCTGTAAGGGCACTGACAGCCTGTTCAAATGTACTGTAAGAGAAGCAGCCGAACACTTGCTTCCTTTTGAGAGCTGGGCACCCTTTACCTGCCATTCAGGTCATGATTTCAAATAATCAGCACTTGGCACTACTTCTTACTGGTGTGTTGGTTTTCTTTCATTAAGCAGTTTAAGATGTCTTAGCAGAACTTGGTCACATCTTGCACATCTTCCACTACTAATAGTCTGGATTCAGAATCTCTCTCCCCATTTTCAAGATCTCAGATTGCCACTTACAAATGAGAAAAAAACAACAGAAGTTCTTCATAGTGCTGCACGGTTCTGTATCACTCACAAACATATCTCCAAAACCCCAAATCTTTCCTCCTGTCAAAATGTAATACTTTACTCTCCCAGCCCCCAAAAATCCCTGTACAGAAGAGAAGGCATCTGATATTTAAAAGTTAAGGAAAAACTCTCCAAATGTTAAGGAACCAGGCTTTGCTTAGTAGTAACAAGATCCAAGTCTGAACTAAACCACTAACTGAATGTGCAATCCAGGAACTACACTGACTTACATAGCTCACTTGAACTTTAAGGTAAATGCTGTAAGCCTTGACAAAAAAAATCTGCTCATGAGAAACTTCAATAAACAGTTTGTAGTTAAATCAAGTGACAATTCAGTAACAGTGTGACCTGTAAAAATAACTATTCAGAAACATGCCTGCTGTTCTGCCACTGCAGTATTTTATGTGGAAATATGTTTCTGGCCTTGTTAACTTAATATAGTACTAAGAATACAGACACAGCTACTGTTTTGTGCTCCAGACTGGCACTCCAGGAGCAGAGAGCCACGATCTCTAGCTTTCTAAGGGCTTTTCTTTTCCTTCCCAATTTGTGGCTTAACACAAGTTAAGGAGTTGCAGAGTTCAGAAAAAAACATTTCTCAACACTTAGAAAATTATCAGATTTATTCTCTGACTGCAAAACAAGGCATTTGCTGATCAGGACACAGACTCAGTCCTTCATTCCAAATCTTCCTGTATTATTTGTGAGAATATGCAAGGAAATAAATGTGCACATGCTTCAAAATCTAATTCCATTCCACATTCAAATCTCAGATTTTATTTCCAGAGACAGCTGAACAGGTGACCTTTTGTTATTGCAGGTTGAGGATATCTGCTTAGGAATCACCACCCTTGTCCAGAACTGTTGAATACCTTCTGCTGTTACTTTACAGTAAAAGCAGAGACAGGTCTGTTACAGATGAGGATTCTCAACACTTCAGCCACAGAACTGACTACAAATGCTCCTACAAACATTCCCACTGCCTGTCAGCTCATCTATACTTGCAACTACACCTATTTAAGAATCCCAAACTTCTATTCCTTTAGATAATTATGTATTCTATACAAACACAAGATGCAACCATGTAGGCCTGACCTCAGATTCACCTTTCACAGTGTTTGTAACCACAGCCTCAGACTCGAAGATAACCCCTGACCCTGTTATCTTGCACCTACATTCATTCACTTATTTTACCAGCTGCTTCTCTTTCCTGTATGAAAATGAAAGTTCCACGCAAGTACTGACCGACAAGTGACACAGTATGAAAACTGAGTGCAAAACTGTCGAAAACAAAAAAGCCACCTACAAACAGAGCTCCTAATGACTTTCTCATTCAGAATAAATTCAGCAGTATTAGCATTTTCACAGCCCTATCTTGCAGCACAGTTGTAACTGATTTTCACATCAACAGATAACTTGCAGATCCAGATACTAAGCTCACATATCCCACTTTTAAGACAATTTAAGGCTTTAACTAAGTACAGTTTTCAGAAACAGCAAGAATGCATCTCATTAGCACATAGGTGTCATGACTCCTGCTATTATTCTGCTAAACTTGTATATTATTTACCTTTCTATCTTTAGCCTTACTATACTGACTAGAAACACTGCCAGCTAGAAGGCCCAGCTCCTTTATTCATTGCTAATACTTTTTGCCAAGGTTTAAAAAGTGAGTTTTAAGTTAACATCCATTAACTAAAAGTAGTAATCAAATTGCTGTTTCTAATAAAGCGTAATAATGAAGTTCCCCTAATGTGCTGACATACCGAAACCTACAAATGAAAATTGGAAAAAATAACAAATGGAAAAACATCACTGGCTTCCATTACCCAAAACAAACACTAACACAAAGTGCAGATTCAATTAGGAGCCAGGGCAAATAAATACAACATGACTTCCATATCAAGAACAGCTGAAAACATCAATCAACTTACAGGGAAATGTGAGAAACACATCAGCTTCACAATTTTTCAAATGCAGTCATTTTTATGTGATTTGGTCACCTCATAAAGCAAAACCCAAGCTATCCAGCCCTTTAAGTAGGAATTGCTTACTCCCCCTTCATTCCCCCCACAGAAAATTATCTGAACACAAAAATAAGCTTAAGTTGGGGCAGGAAGGTACTAACCTTGCCCTGTGCCTTACAACAGGAAGAACTAGTTCTGAAAGACATTCAGGGTCAGGCCAGGAATGAAAGTACTTTAAGAAAAAAGGTTACTAGGTGGCTCCATTACAGCTCAACTGACTACTTCTGAAAGGCAGTAGAAATCCTTATCACCACTCTACCTGCTCAGTTATTAATATCTCCTTAAACTGAAAAAAATTATTTCACCTGTGTAGTACCTGATTTTTCTAAACTACTTCGATTTAATCTTAAATATATTATTTAAATTTTGACTATTTCTACCACTGCAGAGATTTGGTAAGAACTTGAGTGATTCAATCTAAAATTTTATCAAGACAAATAGAGAATCCTCCCTATAATTAATCACAAAATAAATTAGAAAACTGCCCAATTTTCTGAAGAAACAACAGAAATAAAGACATTTCAGAAGTAAACCTATGACTGTCCAGCCCTGAACTCAGAAAAGCAGCCATCCATCTGCAAACTGAGATGGTCCTGCCTTTTGCTGAAGAAAGAAGGCCCAGGGCAAATTCCCATGTTCCAACAGAATAAAATTTCACAACTTCAATTTATTGATGATGCTAGAACTGATACTCAAAATGAGTACTGAATTACTTATTTCTAGACATAGAACTACTATTGGAAAATACTGGTCATATTTACAGTAGGTATGTAGTTATGAAGCAGAAATAGATGGCATTCTCAGAAATGAAACTAACAGTAACATTGCTCAAGCTTGTTGGAAAGCAATAAGGATGCAGAGACAGGAGGAAAAGAAGGATAGAGGAGGGATTTTTAGAAATGAAGCTTCAACTTCCAGCATGAACTGCTAATTTCCCAGAAGTCGTGCAGTTTGACAGCTGTTGTTGAATTGTCATGAAACAAGCCAGGCAGCTACAGAAAAACCCCAGAATAGCCCTGCCTACATTACAAAAACAGCAATGTCATCACTTACTCCCAAAGAAAACGGGAATTAAAGACTTAGTGCTTAACAAAAGTTTTTAGCAAAAAAGGGCAGCAGATTGAGACAATCATGTTGTTTTCAAACAATTCCTAGTGAAAACTAAAAGAAAACAAAATTTCAATTTCCTTCATTTTTAAGTTTCACTGAAGACTAAAGATAGTTCAAAAGCTCTATAGTCTACCATGCTAGTAAAGAAGTCATGCAATGACCCAAATAACTTTCCTGCTGTTAAGTGTGACCAAACAGCTGTTTTGCTGAGCTGTGATTACAGAAAACATGTGGCTGCCACATGAAGAAAAGTCAGCCTTTTCCTCACAGTATTACCCTTGACCCAACTGGCTGCCAGCTACCTGCAGATCAGACTTTCCATACAAAAAAGAACAACCTTGCTGAGTTCAGCAATCTTCACTTCAGTCTTAAGATTACAGGTTGGAATGCTGCCTCTGTCATCATGTACTGTTCCTTACTAATCTGCCTTTTGCAGAAAGTAGTTCAAGCTACTGTTTTTCTGTATGTTTATGAGGATGTGAATTCTGAAGAAAGAAGTACAGAGCACCACATCTCAGGTCTGTTAATGTATAACCCCCCTTCTCTTAGACAGAAGTTGCATGGGGAGAGAACCCTCATAAGTACTAAACTGATTGTGTAATACTGGAAGCAAGGAAGATGTGTGTGCTCACACATAGCCAAGTTACCCAGATCTGCTCACAGGAAACAGTGCAGTCTTCCACCTCAAATACTCCAGTCACAGGCACCATTTCGTAAAGGAGTAACACAAACAGAAATCCAAGCTTCAAGCTCACTCAGACATATTATGTTTCTTCCGCCACTTCCACACAGCCACACTCAGTGCCCAAACACATGCCTATTGCTACAACAGACTCTCCTTTTCTCTTTTAAGAGAAGTGCTGCTCCCAGCTCACCCCTGAAGGAAACACAGGTGGTGTAATTGGGCACTATAAAGCTTTATAACACACCTACAGTTACCTGAGAGTTACCCCCAACCCAAGCAGGGTTACAAGGGCCACGTGTTTACTTTTAACTGTGCTCTTCTCTCCAATTTCTTCTGCCTTCATGCACAGACGCTACAAGCTACAAGTCGATGCAGAGCCCCTACCTAAAAGCAGTACACATCGGTGTTGAAATGCATTCAAGTAACGCTCGATCCTGAAGTTATCAGCCTGTCTGTAGACTGCTGGGAAGACGGGCACCTTCAGGTAACCTCACTGACACCGGGACAGCCCCGTGCATGGAAAGTTCAATTTGTTTCTCCAAGGAAATACCGAGCGAAGAAGAAACTTCTGGAGGAAGCAGGCGGTCTGTGAGGGCAGCCTCGCCGCAGCTCCGCCAGGACCCACGTGCCAGCCGGCGCCGATCTCGCCGCAGCCCAACGCCCGGGCAGCCCGGCCTGCACGTACCTCATCGCCGCGGCGCGAGGGCTGCCGACGCCGCCCGTTGTGCCCGCGTCCCATCGGGGCCCGGCCGCGCAGCCCCGGCCCGGGGAGGCCCGGAAGGGCCTGAGGGCAGCGGGCGGGAAGCGGCGCCGGGCGGGCCTCAACGCGGCCTGCGCGCCTCGCCTCAGCGCCCTCACGGCGGGCCCCGCTCCCCAACCCAGCGCGACGCGGCCCGACGCAGCCACGCGGGGACGGAGCGAGCGGCCCGTTCCGCCGCCTGGCCCGGTGCCGAGGCTGCCGCCGGCGCCGCGCCCGCTCTCCCACCTACCCGCCGGCGAAGAGATGCACCAGGGTGTCTCTCTGGCTCATCCTCGTCGCCTGCACCCGGACGGCAGGGAGCGGTGCCGGGCGCTTCCGCCCCACGCCCCGCCGGCTCCGGGCAGGCTCCGCACGAACGCGCACCGCGGCTTCCTGCGGCGGGAGGCAGCCGCGCAACCGGGGCGGGACCGCTCGCTCCGCCCTTCGCGCCGAGCTGCTACGGCAGCACCGGGTACGGAAAGGGCTCCCATATGAATATGTAATGAGCTTCAGGGTAAACAGAGGCTTTTATTGGCTGGAGGAGTGTGACGTCACCGCCCCTCCATATATAAGACGGCCGCGGAGGCTGTTAGTGGTTATTCTGGGTATGTTGTGTGGTGTCGACCTGACCTGGTGCTCCGTGCCTCCGTTATGCAGCCGCTCTGTGCCTCCGCGCTGTGAGCTCTTTCGAGAACTTTCTGTGTTTTGCTCTTCAGTAGGATTGCTTCTTTGAGAGCTGCTTATGGTTGCTCTGGTGTGTGCTGCTTCAGAGGAGAGGTTGTGTAAGCAGCAGAAAATGAGATGAGGATATCTCTAAGTGTTTGAAGTGCAGCCGGCCGTGGCACTGATAGCAGGGTGTACAGCTGCGCCTTCTTGTTCTGCTCCTTTCTTGTCTTGGGCCTCATATCCTCGGCTGCCACATGGCTGGTTCCTGTCAAAAAGGCAGTTAGGAACTCCCTGGGGTTTTTGTGAAGTGAGTACAGTGAGTTACTCAGGGTTAGAAACACTGTGGTCCCATGTGATAAAAGTAATGCCCCCAGCAGGATTCCTAATGTCACCTACAAAACTGCTTTCTGAAGTCATGTTTTGAGAGTCAAAGTGTCTGAAAGCCAGCAAGTGTCTGGCATGAGTTACATTTCTTCACAGTGTGAATGTAACGCTGCCTAACCAATGAATACAAGCTTTTTCCTTCAGTATGTGTTTTTACTTTGTTGCAAAAATTTCTTTTGCCATTTACTTCCAAATTGATCATTTTACTTTAGTTAGTGATGTGCACTATTTACCCTTTAAAGACTTTTATCTTAATGACTGACGTGTGGTATGTTAGTATGTTGGTAAAGGTTTTTTGCACCAGTGCTGCAGGCAGACAGGGTGAGTTTGTATCTCTAGATCCTGCTTTTCATTGTCTTGAAGGTGCATTGTATGTTTCCTGCTTTCAAGTGACCCCTGTGGCCTGCTGTTTCTTGTGATGTTTTCTGTAATTATGTAGTACAAAGTACTGCTGGTTTTACTCCTTTGACATAATCATGTTTTCTGTTTTTTCTTTCTACTGCAGATATGGTGATTGTCATTTCTTTTACTCTTTTTTTTCCAGTGTCCAGTTTTATATTCACATTTGTTATAAACAAGACAACAGGTTATTAGTTGTTTTAGTGTAGTATATATTAATAGTAGTATGTTTTTGTGCAGCATATTAGTATAAAGCGCAGTTAAAACGCAACTAAACAGCATGCATTCTGAAGCAATTATTTTGTAACTGTAGAAAAAAAAGCTTCATGTCAGAAGATGAACTGCTGTGGGAGACACAAATAAAGCAGAAATGTAGTGTAAAGCTTAGGGAAAGTGGTAATAGCTGAGGAGGAGGCTGGGTGGAAGGAGGCCTGGAGAAGTAAGAGATGTGGTAGTGCTCAGGTGGGGGCCAGTAGTAAGAGTGAGTTGGAACAAAAGTAAGGCAGTGAGTTTAGTTTCTGCACTGGTATTTCACATGGTATCTTTTTGAAGCTAGAAAACAGATCAGTGAGAGTTGAAATAACTCACTGAAAATCAACTGTTCCAGAAAACACAGATAAGACTCTTAGAAACCTACAGTAACAGGGGGGGATGATGGTTGTGAATCTTTCATCTAATGCATTCAGAGACATTTGTAATGATTGGAAAAGAGGTTGAGACACAACCACCAAAATCTTAGGGCTGACCTATAAAAAACTTCTTTTTCTGACTTGTGCAGTTCAGAACTCTGTGATAAATGTCCTCATAAATGACTGGCATAGATTTTTTTGCTAGGAGTTGGATGATTATTTGCAGGTCTGGAATCATAGCAGAACCATTACAAGTAATGTATTTCAGTTCATGAAGTGTAATCATGCTGGAAATAAATCAGATGAGGATGTTTGTATTGCTCTCTTGACACAACAGAAGTGAATTTGTTTAACAATGTATATTGCATATTTGGAGGACTTCTGTCCTATCAAAAAGCTGTCTACATTCAGAAATTAAGCAAATGCTCTGATTTTCTTTATATCAATTTCTATTTTGTTTCATCAATTTGTATTTAAAGATACATAATTAACATTATTTTGCAAATAATGTAATAAAACAAGTCATGTTTAACCTAGAGGCATTGGACAGGTTGTTGATAGTTTTAGAAATAATCTTTTGATGAAACAAGCATGGAGGCTGTGGTGAAAAAAGTTTTTTTGTACTTTGTGGAGGCTTTATTTTTCTTGTTCCTTGAACACGTGTGCATTTCTATGTCTGTTGCTCACGTGCTTACCTGGTTTATAGCTTACGCAGTCTGGAAATATCCAGAACATACAGTAGAACAGGTCAGAGATGAATAATAGGGAAACAGGAAGAGAGGAGCAGCTTTATCTTAATATAATAATAGAAATAAGGAAATAAAGTGAAAATAAGGAAGAGCACAAAAATGATATGTGTAAAAACATAGAAGAACAGAAGGCAGGATGACAATGATACAGGAAAATGAAGACCAGACCTGTCATTTCAGTACCTGAGATGCCTGTTGGAGGAAGCATAGGCCCTATTTGATGAAAACTGGTTGTTAGAGTTGGCTACATCCATATACATAAAAGAGAAAAAAAGTAGTTAATTGTATGGCCTCTATGAGAGCTGGAGAGAATACTTGCTGTGACTTAGGCTGTCAGTTTTCATGAGAAGTGTGTTCAAACATCAGTTTTGCAGAAGAATCACTCAGGTTATCTGTACCATGAAAGCCTCATATCAGAAAACAATCAGAAGATTTGGTTTGTTTAAGCTGGATAAATAAAGACTGAGACAAGATGTGTTTGTGCCTACCAATTTGTCAAAAGAATAACAAATATCCAAGCTAAAGGTCAATATTAGCAGAGTGACCAGAGGCCATGAGTAAATTGAGGTTGAGAGAAAGTGAACCTGATATGATTTTTTTTTTTACAGCACCTGAAGTCTAGAGTAGAATATTAAGATACTGAATACACTCAGTTCTCAGATGGGTCTCTCAAATGTGAATCCATCATGCAGTTCTGTTTCAGATAAACTCTAAACCCTGGCTTTCTGTCTATAGCTTCCTTTAGGAGTGATGGATAAACAAAGTACACCATGACTCATATATGTTTCCTGATGTGAAAAGTTTCTAAAGATTTCAGGAGTTCTTTAAGTCACTGAAAGAGAATCTCTTGGTAATTTTTTCATTGAAAGGTAGAAGGGTGACTGGCTTATTTAGAAAAGGTGAGCATTTGGCTGTGTGGGTTTTGCACAGCTGGATTAAGCAAAAGCAGGAAACTTGAAACTGTTGTCAGTTGTAGCTAGTAACTGCACCTCTATGAGTGTGTGGGTTTGGGGTTTTTTTTTGGTAAGAGACTGGGTATAAGTGGAGAGTAAGGCTCACAGCAGTATATGTTGGTCTTCGTGGTTTCTTGGCCTTTAGGATTTCGTGTAAGCAGACTAATTTGCTCACTTGAGCAAATCCAGCTGTCTTAAATGAGCATAAAGACTACAGAGGTGCATTCAGGACACAAGCAGTTGCCTAGGAAGTCAGTCACCTTGCTTCTCTCAGTTGATAAATGTGGCTTAATTTCCATATGGAGATGTTACTCTAGCTTGTCTAAGTCTAGACAAAGAATTTGCTGATTCTGATATACATTAGGGAGTTAAGCTTCATTACTGCTAACGAACCAATTCAGTATAGGAAGAATAGTTCTTGTTTTCTGAATTGTACTCTGAATGTTATACATATAGACAGTGCTCACAGCCTCAATTTTTGCAATGTAACAGCTGTAACTAACATGAAAACTGGTAGGTAAGCTGCTGCTATGACTGGAGGATGTTGAACATTGTTGTTTATCTGAATAAGGAAAACATGGTTTCAAATTTTATTTTCAATGTGTGAATTCTTTGGCCATTTTCTGTAGGCTATGGGAACAGCTTGTCATGTTCCAGATTCATCTGGTAGTCTCTGAAAATGGGAAAAACTTGTTTTTTAAGGGTGGTAAAGGTTGTAATTACCTTTTCCCCTCATTCTAAGAACTGTCTATGGAAATAGTACCTTTGGCTAGAAAAGGTACTTAAAAGAAATGGAGTGAACCAACCTGTGTGAGTAATGCCAATCTGAAAAGTGGTTAACAGTGGAAAAGTGGAAACCTACAAGTCAATCTGTTTTATTCAAGACTACACAATACTGATTTAGTTAACCTTTGGAAACATTCACATTATTATGATGACTAATTAATAGCAGCTCAAGTCAATCAAATGAGTTCTCCACCTGCTCTGGGGTGTGTTTAGGGCACAGAGGCTCATCTGAGTTCTGGGGGTGTATCATAGCTCTAAATAAAATGTTCCAATAACTCTTTCCAGAGTGATTAATTCTTCTGTGTAGCATAAACTCACTTCTTTAACTTGTTCTCACATCAGAGACAATGCAATTTAATGAGTTATCTTTCCCTAGGCCTTTGAACATGCTCTGGGAAAACTTTTGTATATTTTTGTAAATTTAGGCACAATGAACCTTTAGGATACTTTGCAAATTTCCTAGCCTTGGTGAAGCTGCAGCTTGGATTAACTTGATCTTATTAACCCTTTGGAAGCAGCAGTGGTGGTGTGGTATAGGTGAGATCTGATGGAGGTTATTTTGAAAAATTCTTTGGAAGTTACATTGTTAGAAACAGTAGTACAAAGAACTGCATATTAATTTTTCTAACATAAACCCAGTGAATCACTGATTTTAATTTTGTGATGAAACATTTTTCTGTTAAGCTGTATTTTCCCTTGAATTTATAGAAGTTCTATGCCTAGCATCACTGGTGACCTACATTCCAGAGATGTTGTTTTAATTGTAATGTAAAATTTTCTATCTGTTAAAAATATTTGAATCTCCATATCTTAAATGACAATTTCTGGCCACTACATTCTTTATTCTTTCCCAAAATATTCATCTAGTTACATATTGATTTTAGTTTCCCATGTGAGCAAAGCAGCAATCTGTTGTGT